TCTGAGCAAGTGCAGAATGGTGGTGGAGTGTGCTTTTGGCCGTCTCAAAGGGAGATGGAGAAGCTTACTCACTCGCTGTGATCTCAGCGAAACCAATATCCCCATCGTTATTGCAGCTTGCTGTGTGCTCCACAACCTGTGTGAGAGCAAGGGGGAGACCTTTATGGCGGGGTGGGAGCTAGAGGCAAATAGCCTGGCTGCTGATTACGTCCAGCCAGACAGCCGGGCCATTAGAAGATCCCAGCGGGACGCCCTGTGCATCCGGGAGGCTTTGAAAGCTAGGTTCCTGAGTGAGCAGGGCAACCAGTGACTTTTCAGTTTGTGGACAGAAAAGCTGAACCTGCCCCCGTTTCTTTACCCAGTTCATTTTGACTATCCTCTCCAGTTACATACAACCTTCACCCCCTTCCCCTTCCCAAAAAATAAAATCATTTCGATTTTTTAATGAACACCGTTGTCTGTATTGCTGTTTTCGCGGGAATATTTTAAACCGGGGACGCAGACTGTGGCGGGGGGCGGGTTCAGTGTTCTGATGCAAATGATACTTCTAAACTCCCGGAATGACAGGCTCCGCACTGGTGGACTGGTTATTTCAATGGAGCCTGCCAGCACTCCTGGGGGGGACTGTGTGTATGTGTCGGCTATGTGACTTTCTGGCAGGGGGGGTAGGGTTACAGATCCCCTGCTGCGTGGATCTGTGAGCCAGGATAAGGACCGCTGCATAAGATCTGTAACTGCCCTCCCCCGCCACAAAGTCACAGAGCAACCCCCCCCCCCCCAAAACATGAAAAGCACCTCCCAGACTGACCAGGGTAACCAGTGACTGCACTGTGTATGTGTCCTGATGCTGGACCTGACCCCGCCTCTGTAGCCTGCTAAAGGTGACTGTCCTGTCCAATTACCAAGCCCCTTCCCCCCCTCCAGACAGACTCTCCCTCAAAAGAACCTGACCGAAACAGTAATGAACAGAAACAAACATTTTATTGCGAACCAGACATGAAACGTGGGGGGTGAAACTTGGACGGGGGCTTGTGTGAGGTGGGTAGGAAAGGACTTATGAAATTTTGGGGAATGTCAGCCTTCTACTGCTAGAGCAGTCTGCAGGGGTTGATTGAAAGTTTTAACGGCCCTTGCCGCCCCTCCTTCTTTGGACTTTGGGTGAGGGTGGTGTGGGACTTGGTGGCGGGTGAGGGCGGTTACAGATAGACTGCAGCGGGGCTCTGTCCTCCTGCCTCCGGTCTTGCAGAACATCCACAAGGCGCCGGAGCGTGTCCGTTTGCTCCCTCATTAGTCCAAGCAGCTTTTCAGTAGCCTGTTGGTCCTCCTGACGCCACCTCTCCTCCCGTTCCATGACTGCTCGGTGCATTTGTGACAAGTTCTCCCTCCACTGTGTCTGCTGGGCTGCCTGGGCTCGGGAGCAGCCCATTAGTTCTGTGAACATGTCTTCACGCGTCTTCTTCTTCCTCCGCCTAATCTGCGCTAGCCTCTGGGAGTGTGCTGACAGGCTGGGTTGGGAGACAGTCGCAGATGTGTCTGTGTGAATTTTAAAAAGGGAGTGAATTCCTGAGACAGATAAATGAAATTGTATACAAAGAACCTAGTCTTTCTCTGTGAACAAGACCATGCACTGAACCTCTCACATGCGCACTCAGGACAAGGTCGAATTTTCGGCCGTCGCCTTCAGTGCCTGTGGACTTGCGGAGGTCTTGGAGTGTTCAGAGAACTGTGGCTGGAGACCTGAACTTCTGGAGCGGGCAATAATGGTAAGCCGCAGACTTGTGGCTGCTTAAAACTCCAGCTGTAGCACTGGCCTCCTTTCACATTGAAAGCAATGCCAGTCTCTGCTGCCAGCAATCAGGACAGCATCAACTCTGCCCCTGTCCCACCCCCTCGCGGCTGTCCCAGGGAAAGATCCCTGTATGCTGCCCCTCTCCCTCCACCGCGTGGCTGTAAAGCAGTCCCAATACTAACAGTCCCCTCCCTAATTCAAAGCAGGGCGTCATGAGCGACATCACCCTCCTGAGGATCCCGGACACCCAGAGAGAACGCATGCTGCGGGAAAGCATGCAGAAACCGGGGCCGTATGCCGCCATGCTATGTCGGGCCATGATCCCCGAGTACCTGATTGTGGCATGGAGGGGACATGTCTGCTACCACGGAGGGCCCACTAAGATCGCCCTACCCCGGAACCTGATCAACAGGCTTGAGCTCTACCTCCACGAGACCTACGAGGAGTTCTCCTACGAGGATTTCTCGTCGATCCCCGGCCACATTGACCGGATTTTCGCGTAGGTGCACTGGGACTTTGGAGTGGAGCGTCTTGGGCCTGGGAATCATGTAGTAACGGACATTGTGAAATTTTTTTAAAATACTTGGGACTAAATTGAGAAGAGCCTAAGACAGAGAAATCATGCAAAACCCATTTGTTACCTTTGTAAATATTCCTGTTTTGTACCTGATTATTTTTTTACTAGTTTACAGCACTTTTATAAATATACATTGTTAATAGTATAAATATTACCGTTCTGTTTTAAATAAATGTTTACATGTTTACAGCACTTACTGCTTGATCCGTCCCCTGATTCTGTGTCCGGGGTAAGGGATGGGGACGGTTGGTACGGGATCTCGGTAAGGGTGATGAAGAGCTCCTGGCTGTCGGGGAAATCAGCGGTGCCAGCGCTGTCGACTGCCTCGTCCTCCTCATCTCCTTCCTCCTCTTCCCCGTCCGCTGTCATGTCCGACATGATCCCATCCTCGGAGTCCACGGTCAGGGGTGGGGTAGTGGTGGCGGCCGCTCCCAGGATGGAATGCAGTGCCTCGTAGAAACGGGATGTGTGGGGCTGGGATCCGGAGCGTCCGTTAGCCTCTTTGGTTTTTTGGTAGCCTTGTCTCAGCTCCTTGATTTTCACGCGGCACTGCGTTGCATCCCGGCTGTAGCCTCTCTCTGCCATGGCTTTGGAGATCTTCTCGTAGATCTTAGCATTCCTTCTTTTGGAGCGCAGCTCTGAAAGCACGGACTCATCGCCCCACACTGCGATGAGATCCAAGACTTCCCGATCAGTCCATGCTGGGGCCCTCTTTCTATTGGATTGCACGGCCATCTCTGCTGGAGAGCTCTGCATAGTTGCCACTGCTGCTGAGCTCCCCTCGATGTCCAAAGAGGAACTGAGATTCAAACTGCCCAGACAGGAAAATGAAAATGAATTCAAATTTTCCCGGGGGTGTGGCTGGTCAGAGCATCCGAGCTCGGACTGCTGTCCAGAGCGTCAACAGAGTGGTGCACTGTGGGATAGCTCCCGGAGCTATTACCGTCGATTTCCATCCACACCTAGCCTAATTCGATATGGCCATGTCGAATTTAGCGCTACTCCTCTCGTTGGGGAGGATTACAGAAATCGATTTAAAGAGAGCTTTATGTCGAACTAAATGGCTTCCTGGTGTGGACGGGTGCAGGGTTAATTCGATATAACGGCGCTAAAGTCGACATAAAAGCCTAGTGTAGACCAGGCCTCAGACGTGTTAAAATAGATGTAGCCTAATTCCTGAGTTTCCTATACTGTACCCAGTTTTCATAGGTACGTGAATCTTGTTGTGAAACCTACAATAACTCTAGTGCCCATTTCATTCCTATGACCAACCAATCATCAAACTAAGATGGATCTGTGAGATTATTATTTTTATGTACTCACTGTATCCAAAGCTCTGGCTGAGGATTTGTTATGTGGTCCCCCATTATTTGTTGTGTGTTGGTCCAACTTTTGGGGGTAAATGATAAAATTAAAGTAACAGAAGTCAGTCTCGTAGGACTCTTAACCAGAGGCATTATCAGCAAAATACATTCCTTCTCAGGAAAGGTTTGACTCTTTACACTAAGGATACCCAACTGGAAGAAGCCACATTTTAGAGTTCTCTGGCCTATGTTTAATTTCTAAGGGGTATGCCTACAGCTAGCAGCATAAATACTGGCCTACATATCTCTGAGTGAAGGGCTGATGACAGACACAAGAGATTTGACCTCAATATCACTTATTTCCGTCCAAGAACAAAACAATTTCATGGATTCCATTCTAGGGTAAAAGGAACAGTCTGCTACTGACTAAAAAGAGAGAATTCACTGTGAAAAATCCAATAGGTCTTCTGAGGCTGACTACCACATTAGACTTCTTGTCAGAAAATGCAGTACAATTTAGTTTGATGTGCTGTATCATATTTAATTGAAAACTAATGCATTTAGATATACTGACAAAAGTAGCATCAATAAATATTGCAGGGCTGGGGTTAAGCAGGGTGCATACACCAGGTTTATAACTTATTTTAAAGCTTAGGAGATATTTGATCTTCAGCAACCTTGGCATTTGAGAGAAATGGATGTGATTGTTTTATTAGCGAGAGGGTAGGGAGTTCTAGGTCAAGGAGAGGAAATAAGTCTTTAGATAGGAGCTGAAGAGCCATTCTCATATAGATGGAAGGGGAGTCCATTCCTTATGATGCCAACAATATCAAGCATTTACTACTTATTGATGAGATACAGGGTTGTGCACCAGAGAAGGGAACTGCATTTGATGAGCAGTGGGGAATGGGTTGAAGTATAGGCAGAGAATGAGAACAGAGAGGGAGCAGTGGTGAGACCACAGGTAATCTTGCTGATGATGAGGCAATAGAAACTTGCCAAAAAGAAAAGTCTTGTCAAAGTGACTTAGGTGAAATGATATGACAAGTACTGTAGATAACAAAGCAGAGTTATTGTGAGATGTATTGAAGAAAACACATTCAGCCAAAGTACTTGGGCATTTTTATCCTCTTAAATTTCACTCATCATTATCCAGACACTAATGGGGAGCAAAAATGCCTCATTCTCTCCCGCCCCTCCCCTTTTTTACTCTCTACTGTTTTTAAATATAACCATTCAGTCAAATTGCTGTTAAAGTATTTTAGGTGAATGTTAAAAATGTACGTGCCTAATATTGCCTTCATACTCACTGTATTATTTCCATTTGTAGTTGGCAACATGGGACTCTGAAAAGGGACTGAATGGCAGCCTACAAGAACGGCGTCTGGGCAGTGACTTACAAGGACTGACATTGAAAGTGGTGACTGTCTTGGTATGATCCTATTTGAGTTCAGGAGACAAAATACTCAAAATAAAAATGCTGTGATAGGATATTTGGTTGTTCCCTCCCATAATTTTGCTTTATCTCTTTTAATTCTGTGTCATCTATGACCAGCTGCATAAGCAAGAGAAGAGAGTTGGAGGACTTTTATGTTTTTGTGTGACTTTGTTGATGCTCATTAAAATCAGGAGTTTAGAGAATTGCATACTGAGACTGTGTGCTAGTCTCAAACAGTCACCCAGGCTGAAATTCACCTCCATGCACATGACCAATACAATGCCTGTGACTTGTACTGGTCCTCTGCACAGGGGTGAATTTCAGCCACAGTGCTCCTTACTCTAACCTGTAACATTTTCCTGTACTGATTAATAGATTTTAAGGCCAGTTAGGAACATTGTGATCATCCATTCTCACCTCCTGCATAATGCAGGCCATAGAATTTCATCAAGCGATTCTTTCATTAAGTTCATAATTGCTTGTTGAGCTAAAGTATCTCTTTTAGAAAGACTCCTGGGCTTCCTTGGAGAGGTCTTCTAATCTTGTCACGTTATGTGATGGTATAGGGCCACTTCCCACTAGTAACTTAGAAGGTACTGGAGCTCCAGTTAGCTAAAAGCTACATTGGGAATAAATTAGGATTTGAACTTGTTTCCAGAGATAAAAGGGTAGTTCATTAATTTTCTGCTTGGCTAAGCCACTAAAATATGTATTTTTAAGGGAGCAGTTACTTTATAACTACTTAATATGCTTAACATGGTGACCTCATTATGTTTTTCTTCTTTACCAAAACCATATGCCCACACCAGTTTTTCATTATAATAATGTCATCCTCTGGTTGAAAAATACTATAGTTGGCTATGTAAATAATGGATGCTTCTTAACTTACTTATTTTTCTATGTGTATTTTCTCTCTTCTCCTAGATCAAAGTGCATTAGAAAGATCTGGAGAACTGTAGGAGATCATTAGGACAGTTTTCTTTCCATCTGTTTTTATCTTTCTTCCCTCTAGCTAGTAAAGGCTGTGATCATATCTCCCCGCTTTGTGGGAGGTGAGCAGCTCCATCCGGAGAGGATGTCAGCACCAGTTTGCAGACATGGCCAACAGCAATGGCTGTAAAATCAGTAGAGCTGGCATTCCCTTGGCAAGTGAGCACACAGTCTCTGTCAGACTGAAACACCATCGCCCTGCAGGATTCCCAATGCATTTTGCTAACTCTAAAAGCACTTCGGGGGACAATCCCTGTAAGAACTATTCTTGGACTGGTCATAATGCTAAATAATGTAAAAATAATCAAAGTGTTTTCTAGTTATTATTTCAGTGTGTGCCCTGGGTAGATGATACGTTTGTTACCTTATGAAAAAAAAATCTATAAAACTACATTATTCTGGGCTGGACAACCTCAGTATTCTAAAAACCAACAGTAGTACTGGGTTGATGAGAGTTAAATCCATTTTTTTAGGCATTTCAAAAAAACTTCTTTAAATATTAGTTTAGATGTTATTTTTTTCTCAGGAAGAGCCTTTTGTGATGGTGGCAGAGAACATACTTGGGCAACCGAAGCGCTATAAAGGATTTTCCATTGATGTCTTGGATGCACTTGCCAAGAATCTGGGCTTCAAGTATGAGATTTATCAATCTCCTGATGGCAAGTATGGACACCAGCTCCATAACAGCTCTTGGAACGGCATGATTGGAGAACTTATTAACAAGGTACAGAGAGCAGAAGCAGAGATCTCCAAGCAGAGTACAGCTAACTTTTTTTTAAAGGGTATAATGAAATCCTCCCCTGTAAAATACAAGGGATGAGTCAGAATCAAAACCCCCAATTCTAAACATTCCTGAAGTTTGGATCCTGATCCAAATGTTTGTGTTTTTGGCCCATCTCCACAAAACAAAGACTCTAGAGTATATTATTCTGTCAGTGATAGCAAGTTACTCCCAATGTCAATGTAAGCTATGCTCATGTAACAATAGACTATGCATATTTACCATATGGATATAGATACCAAAATATGTATTCTACTTCCATTCTCATTAGAGGACTTTCTCTTATATCTTTGCCACTAATTCAAAGCTACTACAACTTCATTTCTAACTCTGTTAAACTTCCTTTGGGTCACCTGCTTTACAGCAATATGGTTTTGTAATGATCAATTATTTGATTCCAATGGATGCATTGTACAGAAACATTTTGAAGAAGAAGAATGGAAAGCTGGTCTCAAGATGATCCAGTCAGATAACACTTGGAGGACCAGATTCTTTTTTTAGTTACACCCGTATAAATCAGGAAGAGCACAACTGAACACCACTGAAATAACTGAGAACTGATTATAGCCAAGAATCCCTAGAGGAAATGAAATGTGTTTTCTTGGAGATGCACATAGCTTCTAACATGGAACAATCAACATCAATGTAGTGCAAGGACATTTAGAGGAATTAATATCCAATGGTGCAAAATATTCTTTGCACAGGAGGTTGCTCTGCTGCAGTATATGTTTTAACTGAAAGTAAAATGTTTGTCATTATTTAGTATTACTGGAAAAAGCATGCTTGAGATGAAAATTGAAGCAAAACACAAGTTCAGTGAACAGCTCTAATAAATATATATCTAAAATCTATATTCATTACATCGTGCATTAGGTAAACGTTAGATATTTTCATATTTATTCTAAATTTATCCCAGCTTTTCTGAATTTAATTAATTTGGAAATCTGGTTAGAGGTCCCATGAGATCAGGCTTTTTTGTGAGCTACTGAGTACTTATGGCATTTCTGTTACTAGTCTTTCCATTGATTTCAATAAGCTTTATATCAGCCTCTCCTCTGAGTTCTTTCCCAAAAGGGAAGTTAGGAAACAGAAAATATGTTTTAAAACCTTTTTTTTTTCAAATTAATTTCAAACAAAATGTTTATCTTTCACAAAGTTTGCCAGCATGACTGTTACCATGAAATCTATTCACTTAAACAATGAGTTTAAAATAGTTTCAGGAGGTAAACTGTCCCTGAAACCTTCTTCCAATGTTTATGGCTATAGAATCACATTGTCCTAATCCTTTTTTAACAAACAAACAAACAAACAAACAAACAAACAAACAAACAAACAAACAAACAAACCAGTCTCCCTGGTTGTTGCATGACAGTCTTGTATGAATATGTGAAACTGATAGACTGTACAGAGAAAACAGTGAAATCTAACTATACATAAAGTACTGCCAAATACACAAAATAAACAAAGGGGGGGGAATACAGTAGGGTTTCTGTTTCCCATTAATCTCTTTCAGTTAGAGTAATTGCAGAAGTTATTTGTAACAAAAGTAGATAAAAAGAAGTGTTCATGCAGAGTGTGAATTTTATATTGATGGTGACTCTTTCATTAATCTTCACAATGCCCCAGTTAGGTAAGAGCTAGGATTATTAGCCTCCGTTCTGTAGATGAGGAAAGTGAGACAGAAAGGTTAAGTAAATTCCCATCTGTGAGACAGTTAGATGCTCTTTGTTATACAGTAATTTCACAGGTTACATTTCAGTACTCCACCTTCAACTAGTACATATTTTTATTGTATTAATTTCTCTCAATAAATTGAAATGGTTCTACTGCTTTTTATGCATTGAACTAGACTTCAATTTAAAATTAGATGAGAGAAAGAAATCAATGAAATACGTAAACCACTGGCTGCTTCGGAACTTCTCTTATTGTCCAAATCTGCCCAATCTAAGCAATGTGCTTGCTAGGGGCAGGAAGAAATATGACCTGTGGCATTTCTCTTGCAGAGAGCAGATTTGGCAATCTCGGCTATCACTATAACACCGGAACGGGAAAGTGTTGTGGACTTCAGCAAGCGGTACATGGATTATTCAGTGGGGATTCTAATCAAGAAGCCTGAAGAGAAAATCAACATCTTCTCTCTCTTTGCTCCCTTTGATTTTGCGGTGTGGGCCTGTATTGCAGCTGCCATCCCTGTAGTTGGTGTCTTGATATTTGTTTTAAACCGTATCCAGGCAGTCAGAGCACAGAATTCTTCACATCCCAGTCCCTCTGCTTCCTCCACGCTTCACAGTGCCATTTGGATTGTGTATGGGGCATTTGTTCAGCAAGGTACTGACAGCATTTACTATCTTACAGTCAGTACTTTTCAATCTCAGTATGAAAGAGTAGGCCATATATTATATTAACCCTAGTTCCAGCACCTATGTAAGGAAGTACTTCTTCACACAATGCACAGTCAACCTATGGAACTCATTGCCAGTGGATGTTGTGAAGGTGAAAAGTATAACTGGGTTCCAAAACGAATTAGATAAGTTCATGGAGAATAGGTTAATCAGTGGCTATTAGCCAAGATGGCCAGGGATGCAACCCCATGCTGTGGGTGTCCATAAACTTCTGATTGCCAGAAGCTGGAATTGGATTACAGGGGATGGATTATTCAATAATTGTCCTGTTCTCTTTATTCCCTCTGAAGCATCTGGCACTGTTGGAAGTCAGAATTCTAGTCTACATCAATGGTTTTCAAACTGCGTGTCATGACCCAGTACTGGGTCGCGGAATATAAGGCACTGGGTCGCAACGGCTCTCGTCAGCGCCACCAACTGGGCTGTTAAAAGTCTTGTCGGTGGTGATGCCCAGCTAAGGCAGGCTAGTCCTTACCTGTTTTGAAACCGCACTGCGCCCTGGAAGCGGCCAGCAGCAGGTCTGGCTCCTAGGCAGGGGGGCCACGGGGCTCCGCATGCTGCCCCTGCCCCAAGCACCAGCTCTGCACTCCCATTGGCCGGAGCGAGAGCCTCACGGAGCCACTTGCGTGCCTCTGCCTAGGAGCCAGGCCTGCTGCTGGCCGCTTCCAGGGCGCAGCATGGTCCGTGGTGCCAGGACAGGCAGGAAGCCTGCCTTAGCCCCTCCCGCTATGCCACTGACCAGGAGCTGCCTGAGGTAAGCCCGTGCCCCAACCCACACCCCAATCTCCTGCCCCACCCCTGAGCCCCCCCCAAATCCGGAGCCCCTTCCTGCACCCCAAACCCCTCAACCCTAGCCCCACCCCAGAGCCTGCACCCCCAGCCCAGAGCTCTGACCCCCTCCCATACCCCAATCCCTTGCCCCAGCCCTGAGCCCCCCAAAACCAGGAGCCCCCTCCTGCACCCCAAAGCCTTCATCCCTGGCCCCACCCCTCATCCCCGCACCCCAATCCTCTGTCCCAGCCCTGAGCCCCTCCCACACGCCAAACCCCTCATCCCCAGCTCCATTGGGTCATGGGCATCAACAATTTTCTTCAACTGGGTCAACAGAAAAAAAGTTTGAGAACCACTGGTCTAGATGGACCATTGATCTGATCCAGCGTGGCCTTTCTTATGTTTCTTACCGTAAGCAGACACCAGAGGGACTAGCAAAAATCAGTTGTTTAACAGAGTTTTGTCTTTAACTAAAGGTCAAGCATCATTGCACTGGAAACGTCATAGAGAAATCTACTGTAGGGTAACTGATGCCACAATCTCATATTATTTAATTCAGCATAAGTAGCATACAGAAGTTTGAACAGTTGTCCTCAGTTTAAAAGTTATATTACACGCTCACACATAATATAGGTCTACTTTGATATACTCTGAATATTTAACCTCTATGTTTAGATAGTGATATTGCGTTATTGTTATTGTTATTTATTATTAATTATTAATTTGGCTGTATTTATGGAAGTCATTCTGTGAATTAGATCCTGACAATTCTGGGTAAGGCCCTGTGTGGATTTTCTTGAGAGCATTATTCTATGACTATGTGAGGGGCAATTGGAGTGAGAGGGTTGATGTAGAAATTTTACAAGATTTAATTCAAACCAGTGATTTTAACACATTTTAGTATTTTTTTTGTTGCAGATCAAACCTCACCAGTACAACAGAGTATTCCATAGCTTTCTGGATGCTGAGCAGTTAGATAGTATGTTTTTATAAAATATCAGACCTACTTAAGATAGGTCTTTGAACACATTGATGGGGTGATCTGTTAATGCAAGTTTGAACAAGTAAAATTCATAGGGATCATTCACAGTGTCATTTTAGACATGGAACACGTACTGTAGGTGATCTTAAATGTAGGTTTCTGTGAGACCTCAATTTCTCTGCTTATTTGTAGGTGGTGAATCTGCTATCAATTCTGTGGCTATGCGCATTGTGATGGGAAGTTGGTGGCTCTTTACCCTTATTGTGTGTTCATCCTATACAGCTAATTTAGCAGCATTTCTCACAGTATCAAGGATGGATAATCCTATAAGGTAAGTGCCTTTCTTTACACAGAGCTGGAAACCTCAATTTCATAGATATGCATTATCCCTTTGAATGCTCATTCTTGAGAGAAGGAGAATATTTGAGGGAATTTTCTCCTTATATTCAGTGTCTGCATTTCTCCCTTCCCTACTTCCCTCTTTTTCCTACAAATACCAAGCAGTTTTCACATTTACATAGGGAAGACCATGGCACTTAGACTTTAAGAGAAAACTTTTGCTGACTTGAAAGGAAAATACAAATCTCCCTAACTGAGAGGACTCATTTTCTTATGCAGGTTTTCTTCCTCACTATTTAGGTTACCTACATTTGTGTGTCTTAATATTTCTGGTTCTAAAGGAGGAAATCTGAAAGAATGGTATCAAATTTATATCTCTAAAACATTGTGCAACATATGGCCTCTAGTTTTGCATGTGCAATTTTATGTGCACAATCATTTGGGTATGCAATTTTGTGTACGTTGTCGTCTGCAGTTTTATATAGTACTGCATGAAAACGATTATGCACACAAAATTCCATGTACAAAAAGATAGACAAATTTTAAGACACTCTTAAAATCAAAAGACCAGATTTATTATGACTATTTGAAGAGTAAGGTACTGCTAGGAAGGGAGAAAGGATGGCAGAATCAGACTCTAAGGTAGTAGATGTGGTAAGGAAGTTTTTTTATTAAATATATATATTTCTCCATACAGATGTTGGCAGTATCATTGTGCTAGATTGCAGACCCTTGTAATAAACTGCATTTGTTCTGCACCTTTGTCCTCCTTACCTTACCATCATTCACATCTGATGAGAGTATTTCCAAGCCTCTGGGCAGTTTTGAACAGCTGCCATTCAAAAAAAAAAAAAAAGTCAACTTGCCAGGGAAATGTTTCTTTCTCTCTTCTCAAATATGGACTAACTCCCCAAGTGCCCTGCACGTCATGCCAGTGTAATTTGGGGAAGTTAATCCATATTTAGGAGGAAAAAATTTCCCTGGCAAGTTGATTTTTTTTAAAATGCAGCTGTCCAAAAACTGCCCAGAGCCTTGGAAATACTCTCATCAGATGTGAATGAGTACAAGGGAAAGAGGACAAAGGTGTAGGATAAATGTAGTTTATTACAAGGCCCTGTAATTTATCACAATGATATTGCCAACATACATGTGGAGAAATGCACATTTAATAAAACAACATCCTTATTACAGCTACTACCTTATACACGCGAATGAAGTGCAAGGCAGGCAAATTATTTGTCATCAGTCTTTCCCCAGTGACAGGTTTATGGTCTGATATCCTGTGGCCCATCAGTGAAATGAGAGCTTTATTCCACTGGAAATGGAAGATTCCCAGTAGTATGAAGGGACACAGGATCTTCTTCTAACCATGGAAGGTGCTGATATAAGGAATTCTTGTGCTACAAGTAGACAACGTTACTATATATATCTCCCACATATACATACAAGGAGAGATAGGACTAGAATCTTTGTCCTAACATAGAGACCTCTACTCCGTAAACTAAAGGAGAACTCCCATAACTGGCTGCAGTAATATCCCCTTTTCCCTCTCTGTAGTCCAGCCACTAAATGACAGTTGACTTAATCTCTCATGAGTAATATTGTCATCCCAAACTCATGTTAATAAAACTTTTATACCATAACTTGTCATTTTATATATACATCCTATAATAGTGTGTCGGGGTGTGATGTTGCAAACGGAGAATGCTCCTTTAGGAAATGCTTCATGGGCACAGCAGGTGTAAGAAGATTTTGTCCTATGGTAGACAATGAGTGCTGCAAATTGCCACAATGTTCAGTCCTGACTTCGGTAACAAATTGTAATATGGGTTTGAGGTGGAAGCACAATGTGCAAATCAGTGTTACAACTCAAGTCAGGAACAATGAGCTGTAGAGCTTGAAAAATGACTTACTCAACTACTTCTGAATGTTACAGTTTCTTGTAAGTAGAAGGAGTTGGCTGTGCAATCTATCAGGTGCTTCCTAAAACTCCTCTGATTTCAGTGGAAGACAAGAGCACAATAGATGCAGTAAAGAAACTTCAGTGGAGAGGTAAAATCAACAGCAGATTTTCTGGGTTGTTAGTAGAGGTCATTAAGGCTGAAGTATTCAAAACCTCTCATGGGATTTGGACACCTAATTCCTATTGAAATTAATCAGAATTGGGCATCCAAATCCACTAAGCATCTTGGAAAGTCTCTACCTAAATCTATAGAATGATAGTTTAGTTACAGGGCCCATTAGACTTTGTCTTGTGACCTCAGAAAGCAATCAGCCTTTTACCTTTAGTTATGACACAGAGTGCATTTCCAGCGATGGCCCGTGAAATGTAATTATGGCCAACTGTCAACAAAATGGCAACTGCCAGTTCCCAATAACAGATTCCTTATGGTCAGTGATGATATACAAGGCAGAAATCAACCTGGTATCTGAAAACAAAGCTGTGTTGAGCTTGCAGTGCTAGCTGCTAAAAAAACCTTGTTTTGACTGTTGCTACAAGCATGTTTCAGACCTTAACTCCTTCATCTAAAAAAGAGCATCTCAAAATGGCCAGTTCCTTCCATCTGGCCTGAATAGTGAGACTGAGATCAGGGAACAACAATAATTGGTTTCCCGCATGCAGTGCATCTCTAATAGAGCAGGTCACTCTCAGAACTCTGTGGCATGCCCTAATGCTGGAAAGAGTAATTAATGTTGGGCCTTCAACTTGCTTGTTGTTTGGAGTTTTGCCCTTTCTGATTCTCCATAGACTTATTTCACAGACATTGGTCAAGTGAGTCTTCCCTCCCATTTTACTCCAAAACTGAATGAAGGATAACAGACAGTGGAAGCTTCTAACCGTTGGGGCAGGGAATGGTGTGTCAAAATATCCTATTAAAAAAAAACAGATATGACCTTGGAAATTCAACGCTGGTATGTCATTAAGGCAACACACACAGAGTCCTAAATTCATTCCTTAGCAAGAAAAAATCCCTACTTATTCAAATATTATGTTAAATTGAAAATATAGTATTTGTGAGGTTGACGTTACACATTTATTTAGTGACTAATAGAAAGATGGCCCAAATTCTCAGCCCTTCTGTCACAGGGTGCCGCCATTGCTGTCTGGTGACCCTCATTGCCTGGCCAGTTCAGATGGTTTCACAGTCACAAACACACACTGGGCTGTTTATCTTTCACCCAGGTGTGTATTTACTCCCTTCTTACATAGTAATACTGTGCAACACAGGCTTACAGAAAGCGTAGGCTTCCTGCAGCCCTCACCCCCTGAGCGTCCTTCTGAGCTGCTCCTTGATCCTGTTTCCTCCCCTTATATTCACCCTAATTACCTTGTTGGCCCCAGTGATTGTCACCCAGGTGCTCACAATCCTCCAATAGAAAGTGTATAATTGCCCCCAGTTGGGCCTGTGGCCTTCCTCGGGCAGGGCCGCCCAGAGGATTCAGGGGGCCTGGGGCAAAGCAATTTTGGGGGCCCCTTCCATAAAAAAAAGTTGCAATGCTATAGAATACTATATTCTAGTGGGGGCCCCTGCGGGGCCTGGGGCAAATTGCCCCACTTGCCCCCCCCACCCCGAGTGGCCCTATCCTCGGGTTGCAGCAATATCAGTGACTGGGGTGCTGCTGATAGCGCCCTGTCACACTTTCTATAGCTGTTTTACACCACTTTGAGGATTCTGGTTGTACAAGGGAAAATCCCTAGGTGGTGTAGAACCCTGGAGCAGCTTCTGCTTCACCCCTCCAAACCCTAGTGAATGGGACTTTCCTGGAAGGTGGGGGGAAGGTGGTGAGGCCAGGGTGGTCCTATTCCTTGACAGTCCCCAGTTGTTAGAAGAGTACCTTATGACTATGAGTAGTTAAGCACAATTTACAGCAGCCTGAAAGCTGCTCCAACTTATACTAGGGGCCAGACAGCTTAAACACTGAGGAATGTAAAAGTGGTTGAAAGCCACCGGTGTCCCTACCTGATTTTATCCTCTGCCAAGAATCTGTTTTTTTTTAAGATTTGTGTTTGGTTTTTATTGAAAGCTTCTAATATCACATTAATGCCACTTTCCCTGAAAACAATAATAAAAGTACTCAGAAGATTGGCTGCCCTCTTTCATCTTCAATATGGTGGAGATGATTCCATGCCTCAGCCAGTTAGGCAGAGATTTCTTGTAAAAATTAATTCATCACCAGCCACAGAGTGAGAGATTTCCCTGAGGCTGAAACTTCATCTCTGGCATGTGTTTCTTCTGCTGCATCAGACCCTAGTCTGCAAGTTCCCAGACAGACATGCCAAACCTGCAAAAATAACGCAGAAGTTGGGCTTGTTTTTGGCTTAACTGGCTTGTGAGTTGCTTATTGGCTAGTTTTTGGCTTGTAGCTTGTTGCTTGTTGCTTCTTTTTTTTTATCGTCTCCTGGCAAGCAGGGGTGGGACGGAGGGGGCAAGCAGGGACAGGGGGTGGGGAGGCAAGCAGTGGCAAGGGGGGGGGAAGAGAGTCAGGGGTGCACAATGGACACATCACAGTCCCAGATTGCATGCCGGCGGGATCTAGTCACATAGAGTGTTGGGGTTCTTAGGGATCGGCTTGTTTTGGCCTTGTTTTGAAATGGGATTAGCTTGATTTTGGCTTATTGTGAAAGTCGGGGTGCTTATTTACCGTGTGAAAGTTAGCAGCTGTGTTCCCAGATCTTACTACTACTTGGTTTCAGCAAAGTAATGTATAATGCAAATAACTTTTGTCTCCCTTCTAAACTAGGCATTGGAACTTTTCCAGATAAGGCCTTTCCTAGAAGGGAAATATATACTTGAATTTCATTTTTTCCCTCCCATAGTGAGATTTGAGGCACCATAAATAATAGTTGACAATTTTCCCACCAACTGAGAACTAGTAAATCCTGCTGCATTTACTTTCCGTGTTAGGAAACTGAACCCCACACTCTGAATAAATATATGCTGTTATCTCTCTCTCTCTCTCTCTCTCTCTCCATAGAAGAGTCTTTTGGTG